TAATGCGCTGATGACATCAATAGGAGACTACAGTCAACCATCAGATGTATTGACCAAGGGAAAGTAAATGAAAAGAACACTTTATAAATTTCATACGTCCTAAGAATTTTTCTGGATTTATATTCATAAGGAACGTTCAGACCTTAATATTTGAAAGCCAACAAATGTAGTCCCATTACTATATGTATATGGCCAGAAAGGGACATAAAAATAGACAAATGCATATAATTTCAATTTTGTCTGAATGAGTTGTAAAGTTAGTTGTTTGCATTTTTTACTGAAAAACTAGCTAATAAATCAGCGGATAATTTAAAAAATGCATATTGATATATCGGTATCGAATACAGAGAGACGCTACCAAGGCGAAAGGGAAAAACGGGAAATTGAGCGAACAAACGCACCAAAACATTAGTCAACAATCCCCACCAATTCACCCAACAAATTAAGCTGTATAGACCAAATCCAAAATAAAAAAGGCATGATCATTATTTAATGTTTCCCGGTTTATAGAAAACAAATATTTTTTGGAATATTATACTATAAAACACATGATGATTATTATATTCAATTCATATACAGTTGCTAAATGTAAGAACACGTCAAGAGTGGCTTTATAATATATACTTAACTAAAGCATTGGGTTTATCAGACAAACGTATTATGAATATTTAATTGTCAATGGAAAATGTCGCTCAGTAGAGTTTTCTCAAGTTTACCAGAGAAAAAACGCAGAAAAGTAAGTCCAATGGAAAAAATCTTCCATTGTGTATATCACGTATGTCTTATATATCAGTAGAGTTTAAGTTATATGAGTCAGTCGGATGCCATCTACTATGTATTTGTTCAATGCATGATTGAATAAAATGAAATTCAATATATCATACTTGTATTACATATTTCAAAATATATATATGAAATTTGTTTTAAGTTGGGTACCTCGTCAGATATTCAGAAATTTAAGGAGTTATGCTTTCCTTCAAAAAAGAAAAAGGAAACGAAATGTATTGGACGATCAAACCTTGAAGTGTGTATGATCGCAGGTCGACAGATTTGTCAGGATTTGCTTGGATATCGTAGGGGTAAGTCTAGAATGCAAATGTGATCTGTTATTGCTTTTGATACGACATATTGCATATTTTACCCTTGACATTTAATTTATAAAGCGATTCGGACGCACATAATTAATAAAGCGTCATTTTCATTTTATAGCATTTTGCCAATACCACTACTCGTAAACTGTTCGTCTTAAAGAGTATCATCACTCAGTGGTCGGTGCTTCAGTGCTGACAAGATTTTTTACAAACTTTTCAGGTTTCATTTCCTTATGGCGAATGCGACATTTTGGTCAATAAGCTCTTCACGTGGTTAGGATCAAGACAATTAAATGTTTTATAGTTAGCGTTACCGATTTAATTAATCCAGAAGATTGCTTCGGACGCACGAAATCATTACAGTGTTATTTTTATTTTGTAAATATCAACATTCGTAATGAATGTATGTATATGTTGTGTACAAATTGTAATGTTGTACAAATTATAACTTGTACAGAAGTTTTGTACAAGTTATCAGTGTTTTATGAACAACTTAACACAAATGGATGATACAAGCACACAGTCTTTTGTTTCGCATATTTATGTCATATTTCTATGACTACATGATACACAAAAAAGATTTTTTATGGATATGATTTTGGTATAAGGAGAAAAAAAAAAGAATCCAAACCATTCAGCTGTCCATATTTCCAGTTTAAAAACAAGGACAATAGCACTAAATGTTAAGTTGAAGTATATAAATTTGAATTTAAGACATTAAGCTAATAAATTTTAGAAGACAAACTTTTATCACCTGGTACAAAAAGGTATGTGTCAAAAAACTTATAACTTGTACAAAAACCCTGTACAAATTGTAATTTGTACAAACTTGCATTTTGTACACAACATATATACGAAGTATTTCTAAGTGTACAGGAATTTGATATACTCATCTCATTCGTATAAAAAATAGGATGCTTTTTTTATATTTCATATTTAGATATGTCTGCCTATGTATAGTGACAACTGCAATTTATACCTTATCTATTGTATTTCCTATGATTAGGAATCACCAGGCGTCTGAATTATTATAAAGTGCCTAGAAAATAAACCTAACAATGATAGAGTTGATCTGATTCTTTGCTTCCTACCCAATCGGGACCGGAACCTGCACTGTTACTTCTCACTTCTACGGAAACACATCCTAGCCTTGCACAGCCGCCTAATCCCCTCCATTAACTATAGTTGATAAAATCAGCTTTCGTTTTGGGAGGTGTTACCTTCTCGTAGGCAATAAATAATGACGAATATTTTCTTAAATGTCATGCAAAAACTGCAGTTATAGTGGTGAATATATACCCTTCAGTATGTGGCCTAGATTGAAAGATATTTTACATTTGTGTTAACCAGATGACTCTCTGAACAGAAAGGAAAAAGGGTCCGCATATCAAGATCTTCTGATTTGGGCAATTTTTGTAAACAGACCAAAACTAGCTACCATATTCTGGATGAAATGCGAAAATCCTCTATGCAAGTATTCTAAAATAGTGATAAATATTATAACTAGAACCTTGTTGATATAACAATGATAGAATATCCAAGTTCATAAGGTATGTACTTGTATTTTACAATTTATCGCAATTCTCATAGGAATTATCACCTAAGATTTTTTTATGAAAAAAAAAGAAAAGAAAATACTGATTGCTAGGGTGCACTGCTTTACTGTGAAATTAAGATAAAACCGCGATGTACTAAACGAAACAGAAATTTGACAAAACGAGCCTGAATATAATCTTGACAAAACAAAACTAAACAGAAACAAAAAGTTAAATAAAAAGATGAAGCAAAGAAAAACGAAATACATACGTTTGATAGTTTCGATTTTTAACGACTCTAAACAAATGTCAAATACTTAATTTCAAGGCAGGAACAAGCACATTTAAGATGTGTATGGCAGGGGTGAACATGTTAATCAACACTGGAAAAGAGAAAGAGGATTGGACATTTTGACCTACTTGTAAGAAGCTACGTATTACTATAGGTTGCACTTCTGTAAATATAGACAATGCAATTTCCAATAGGAACTCCTTTTACGGCTACAACTGTGCCACTTGTACTATGAAGTTTCGTAAAAAATTATATCCTAAAATAGAATGCTGATATGCACTACAATTTTATTCAAAGGTTAAAACATAGGGCTGTGCGGCATATTTCCAACATTTATATCCGCCGAACTTCTAAGAGTTTAAATTTATACTAAAATTCTGTACTACCCTTCCTTCACTTTGAGTCTTCCTAAAATCATAATCAGGCCGTGTATTTGAGAAAGGTAGGAAGAAACTCGGCCCGAAATCATATTCAACTGTGTATAAACAAGACCATTTATGTCATATAACAACAAAGGAAAAAGAGCGTTTTGGCTAGATGATTTAATGACATTTTACAAAACAAACACAGAAAAACATAGAAAATCCGGTTTCTTTATATAGACAACTCAAGACCATCGTTTAGACAGTAAATGGTATGGTTTTGTTTTTTTCTTGATTTAAAGACATATTTTGAATACATATATTTTACCACCAGATTAAAATAGTAGAGTGTTTTTTTAGTATCTAATAAACTTTTGAATTAAAAATGTTTACAGTTCTTTTCCTGTGCTGGTTTTATATAGTGTGTTCATTTTGTTAATTTGCTGATGGAGATTAAAAAAGTCGATGGTTGAGATTTCAAAAATTATTTTATTCTTCCCCATTTTCATGTGCCGGTCTCAATTCATGAAACTTGGTTAAATCTATTCATAATTTTAGAATCGGACGATTGAGAGCTTGACATTTTGTATAAACATCGGCCTATTTTAGAAGACTTATGTTGCCCCCTAGATTTTTTATTTATTCTATTTCTTTCGTTGGCATATTGTTATTCAAATATGAACGCTTGGTTTATGACTAGATTACTTTTAAGTTGCTTAATATAATATCCTCAATCATTTCAAAACAACATGCTATTTGTCAATTTGTATCTTTAAATGACGAAACAATAAGTACAATACATACATACATATCTTCAATCGTTCCAGTAATTTTTCAAAAACCGGCAAGGAGATTGTGTTATCCGATTAAGTTAAAGAAAATGTCTTTTTAATAACCAATGCTTTTTAATTTGATCAACTGATATTACTGATGATGAACATCGATTTATTGATCTGTTAATTAGATTTAATAGATTTCCATTAATGACATGATTTATAACAAAACTTTCTTAAAATGACTATTAGTAAATTTAGAAATTATAGAAAAAATGTGGTTTACCATCTTAGGCAATGTTGACCTATTATTTTTAGGTCCTTTTTGGTCATAAAGCTCTTCACCTGTTTCGATTCTCATACATTCTTGGCTTTCAAATATTCGGCCTTAGGCGTTCGTGATGAAGATACAAACAGAAAAACGCTTCGGACGTAAACAATTTATAAGTGTTGTTTTCATTATTTACAGTACGGGTTTGATATTGCTGTTGGTTAAATATAAGTCCGTCCTCGAGGGTAGCACCAGCTTAGTCGTCAGTACTTCGGTACTTTCATTGTTTGTAAATTTATCCGTTTAGAAATTTAGAAATTATAAAAAAAGATTAAGGATGGAATCCGCTCAGTCAAAGGTGACTTTAAAGATGTTTGCTCCTCTTGTTTTTGAATTTTTGCCAGACCATGTATTGCCATTAAAAGATTTTGCCCGCTAACCCCTTCTTTTCTTTTCATAATTTTATTACATATATTTTAAAAAACCATATTTGAAAATCTTTTAAAATCCTTTTTTTTTTTCATAGTTTTTTAAGCAAAAAAGTGCCAATGTTAAATGTAAGAAAAATCTAGAGAGAATAATTTCCCGCCAAATTTCCAATGGCTTATATTTTTAAAACAAGCACACGGACCCTTCATTTTTTTCTGCTTTTTTAGCTTCTTTATTAATATACTATCAATTCATAACAGTCTATTAAAAAGCTTGTTATTTTGAAACAGAGTAGCGAACATCCTTAAATGGATTTGGCTATTATTTTAATGTCCTAATAGGTCACAGAGTTCTTCAACTGTTAGGTTGCTTTACATCCTAGGCTTTTTAATATTATGCTTTGAGCGTCCTTAGTGAAGGTAAATTCAGATAGGCATTTCGGATGCATGACATTTACAATCTTATGAAAAAGTAGTGGACTTTTGGGTTGAAATTTCACTGTAAAAAATGGGTCATGTATTGTGAGGTAACGTAGTGATGAAGCCTAGTTGACAAGGTAAACAATTAGTATGTCTGAATTTGTTAATTTTTAATTTGTGATCACTGAATATGCAACTTCCATATTTTGAGTTAGAACTGATAATGTTTTTTATAATTTGATATCGATTGTCAAGAAAGCAGAACCCTATATTGTAAAGAAAATAAATGAGAAAAAAGCAGGTGGGAATATTTTAATTCCATTCATTGTTCTAACGACATGTACTCAAAACTAATTGCGTTATCGGGGCTTTTATCCAATTACGACGGAACACAACATATAGCAAATCAGTTATTCAAAGGAAATATTAACAGTTTTCTGTTAATCATGTGGTATTGTATCACATTTAAAGATTCCATCTATTCAAGCAAATTTTACCAACGATTATTTTGCCTGTTTTGTTTTGCTACATTTGGTTTTAATGCCCACATACGTTGCTTGTATTCGGTTCCCTGATTTGAAGTTATTCCTAAGCAGATCGCACATCCGTCAATGAAACAGTTATATCAAACGAAACAAAATAAAAAACAAACAAACAAACAACACAATGTACATCCATATATCAACATATAGTTTGCATGGAATTTAAAAGATCATTTTAAAATGAGTGTCTTGCGTCCTAATATAATATCGTATATTCGTGTTGCTAAGTATTTGGTTTTCTATGTTGTGTCTGTATACGGTGGTTTTCTTTTGGTCTTTTTCATTTTATGACATGGCGTTGTCAGTTTATTTTCGACTTATGAGTTTGAATGTACATTTGGTATCTTTCGCCTCTCTTTTTCATATCGAAATTATATCTTCTGGTTGTACCCGTTTAGATATTTTGGTGAATAATAAACTTTCAGCATTATGAATCGCATAATATGAAGTTACTAGAGACTTGCATGATGATGGTAACAATTGTATAATTATTCACTCAAAATAAATGTATATTTATGGAAATTAAAGAACTCATCAAAGATACAACGCTTATAATTTTGTAGTGCTGTTCGATACACTTAAGCATTAAGTATGTTGAGAAACTTTAAACCGACATATCATTCCGCACTTTCTATATGATTTTGCTATTGTATTATTTATACTTATTTCAACCATTCCTACATAAGGAAGTGCCTGTACGTAATCAGGATTGTGACAGTTGTTTTCCATTCGTTTGATGTGTTTGAGATTTTGATTTTGCCATTTGTTAAGGGACTTTCCGCTTTGAAATTTCCTTGGAGGTCAGTATTTTTGTTATGTTACTTTTTTTTAGTATGCGCATTATTTGCCAGCAGTATATACAAACGGATGGCAGCCAAAGCTAGTGACCAGTCAATAAAGGCTGACATGGTTGCTCAGTCTAGGTATTTATCAAAGAATTTTAGATAAAACAAAATATTATTCACCTTTATGATTATAATGATTTTGTAAGTGTACTTATTAGTATTGATACTGACGAGGAAAGCAAGCAATATTTTGTTTTAATTTGAAAGCGACAAAATGTGTTATTTTATAAAACTTTACAACCATAAAAAATAACAAAGATAACAAAGGGTATCAACATAAAGAGAGAAAAAGTAACATAAGTATACTTAGATGCATGATTTTTTTTATTAGTTGTTATTGGCTTTGAACTAGCTTTCAGTAACTGTAAGTACTCTCAGATCTGTACTTTTTGTTGTTGGGGTGCACAAGTTTCCGTCCACATCCACTCTGTGTTTTTGTTAGATGTATTTCTATTTGTATCCATCTGATGAGTTAAGCCTTTTTCAACTGATTTTTATAGTTTGTTCTAATGTTGTACTGTTACAGCACTGTCCCAGGTTAGGGGAAGGTTGGCGCCTTTAAACTAGTTTAACCCCGCCACATTCTGTATGTGCCTGTCCCAAGTCAGGAGCCTTTAATTCAGTGGTTTTCGTTTGTTGCTGTGTTACATATTTTGTTTTCGTTAATTATTTTATAAATTGGGCCGTTAGTTTTCTCGTTTGAATTGTTTTACATTTGTCATTTTCAGGGCCTTTTATATCTGACTATGCAGTATGGGCTTTGCTCATTGTTGAAGGCCGTATGGTGACCTATATTTGTTTATTTATGTGTCATTTCGTCTCTTGTGGAGAGTTATCTCATTGGCAATCATACCACATCTTCTTTTTTTTTTATATATATAAAACACTACCATGATTGAAAAAAAAAACAATAAGCTACACAAAGCAAATAAAACATCGAATAAACTCTGATGCATCAATGGGGTAAGCACTCCCAGTGTCATCATTCATGTCGCGCCCGATGATTTAAAAGTAGGTAGAAATCATGTCAATGTAGAATGGTGCAGGCCCTTATTCATCTGTTTTACACAATATATACAAAAGGGCTAGTTTTAAATCATAATTTGAACTACTAAATTTCCTATATTTAATTCCCGTTATCGAACAGATTATTTAATGTGATTTTTCAAAACAATGATATTGTTTAGGGCGTGGTTTATATGGCTAACACCATATTTTTTCATTAGAAAATGCAAAGTGTGAACGTATATTTGAATTTTGACAACAGATGTAGAATAAGGGGTTATATACCCATTAATTGTTTTAATTCTAATGTGTTGATCAGCTTTAATTTTTTTTATACAAGCGCTCTGTTAAAAATTAAAAATATCTGCTTTAGTAGTTGTTTTCATGTTTTCTCAGTCTGATATCGTCGACAAAATCGATTAGAATATATCAGCTTTTTTATAAATCTTTATGCAATGTTTTTTGATTGTAAAATACCTCGATAGTTCTTTTGTGAGAATAACAAAACACATTTGTGGTCCAAGGAATAGAAGCTATAAGAATAACAAAGAATTCGTCTGTAAAAAATCAATAATTGAGATACTGAAACTGAAAATTGAATTATTTTGTTAAATAATGGTTTTTCTTTCTTACAATAAAAGAATGCTTATTTCTATGCAGAATGAAAATGGAAGTGCTAACACGCCATACTTCTGTTCACACCATATGAATATAACACGCTTTTTTTTATAGGATCTTTGCGGATAGAGCATTTGATTTGCAATCGAGATTATATGACGATGACGCTGAGCTTGCAATGGATTTAGTTATCACAGATCAAATCGTTTGGGACATCACTATAAGTCCAATGCAATGTGCCTATGAACATGATATGCTGGACGTTCTTGCCCAAACATGCCCTCAACGACGTTTAAATAAAATATGGTATAGCGGAATAAGTTCTAGTCTTGGAGGATTTTGGAAGGTAAAAATGCTTGATTTTCCAGTTAAATTAGAATAGGGTTAAGATATATAATAAATCAAAATTCAACTTACTTCAGGTTAAACGTAAAAGAATAGAATTTGTCAATAGCACTAGTCAGTCTTTTGTCGAAGGGATTCAATTCTTCATTTATGAAACCCTGCTTAGGCTTAATAGGCTGAAAGGTACAGAAAAATTAAATATAAAAAAACCAACACATACACACGTTATATATATATATAAGATTTAATCAACATTGGAAATCATAAAGGGACTTTTTATTAAGACGTCATATATATATATATATGTATATGCTTCCGCAAATTTGCAGATTTTACACTGTTGTGCTGATATTTAGAGTATAAAATGTGTTTTCAGCCGTGTATCACCTTCACTGGTGATCCAATTGATGGATCTGTCGTAGAGTTGTGACTTGGTTAGACGTACTTACCAAAATAATTATTTCTGTGACTGTATCATACGATCCTTAACGATAGATATTTAGCTCATCTGCAATCAATTCCATCATCATGCCTAATATATCATGTACTGTGTTACAACTCTAGCTCTACTGACGTGGAAAGGTAACACTAGGCCACCTAAAGCTGAATTATTAGTTCAGTCTAGGTTGCCGAGTGATCTAGAGCGAAGGACACAGTGCAGGCGGTGTTGTCTCGATATCCTAATAGCATGAGTTCGAATCCCGGCGAGGGAAGAACAAAAATTTGCTTCCGCAAATTTGCAGATTTAACATTGTTGTGCTGATATTTAGGAAGTAGTAATGTATATATATATATATATATATACATATGAGTCATATTCTTTCCCCATGCATAACTGTGTTCTTTTCATGCATTGTATACAACTAGCAATCTGAAAAGGAGTCAAAGTGCTGTTGGTATTTATAATGTTGCAGTCTTTAAGAATGACAACATTTTTTGATAACAAAATTGCAAGAAACTATACCTTGTTTATCATGTTTACATAGGATCTACTGCAACAAAAGGACTATAACTGCAGATATCTCTGACATAGATATTGCTTGATATGGTCATGCAATTAATTATTGGGAAATGATTTACTGAACCAGACATTACTAGTTAATGACTGAGGTATCATTTGGGGGTTTACGGTAGAAATTTGGACTTATCATGATTGACATTAGTAAGATGGCTTATGAAAATATCAAATTTTCATTATGTTTGAGAAGCGTGGGTGTATTTTAGCTTACTTATTAAAGGTTGGTTCATCGTTTTAACAGAAACAACAATAAACTTTAAAAATGGAATAGGATTATTTGGTTTGTGTTTATTTACCATAACCGTTATCAGCATTACCACAGTAAAAAGGTGACAACATATTTTTTCTTCAAGGTCATCCTTTAACCATTCATAGATCTTTCTTTAATTTTAGTAATGATGACGTTTTGAAATCATAATTTATCCATTCTGTTTGTACAGAAAGGCTTGTGTTGTAGTTGGTGCTATTGCGGAAGAAAATGTTCACCGGCTAAAGGACTTTTAAAGTTTATTGGCGCTCCTCTCACGAGGTTTTTGGTACATTACGTAAGTATTCACATGTATGTAAACTCAAGGTAAACTGTTTCAATTTAAACAAATATATTTAAATTGTAGCAGCTGAACACAACCAGTGCGGTATTTAAAATCTCTTTTCTGAGCGCTTAAAACGTAGTGTTTTAGGTAAATGTTATCTGATGTTCTTTAGCGGTGAATTGCTTGACAGAGTTTAGTTTGTTTTAAATCCCAATACTCATTTTCAAACATTATTAACAAGAAATAATTTCACAAAACGAGAATAGGAAGCTTATGAATTGATAATTCATTCTGAGAAAACATGATATTTTTATAAGTTGTTATTGACTTTGAACTTACTGTAAGTAACTGCGAGTACTTTGCGTCTTTTGTTCTTAAATTCGTTGTTTTTTTACTTCGTATCGATCGATCTAATGAGTCCACCATTCATGCTGAGTTATACCTTTTGCTCTTATGTCGTGCAGTTTATCATATCTGGACCGTTTATAGCTGACTATATGGGTTATGCTAATCGTTGATGCCGTACCATGACTGACCTACATTGCTTAAATCCACGTTATTGAATAGTTGTCTCTTTGCAATCATACAGCATCTCTTTATTTCAAACATCAAATGTACCTTGTTGTCTTGCTATATTTTGAATTGCACATGTTTTAGTTAAATAGATAAAGAAGTCATTTTGCATTGAGAGTAATAATATGTATGGAATAAGCAAATACTGTCTAGAAATATTGTTACAAGGGAAAGGAAAGGTTAAGCGCTCGCAAACATGTTAAACAGAGACACGTTCTATAGATGCCTGTCCCATGTTAGAGCCTTTGAATAAGGGAAGTGGTTTGTTGCTGTGGGTTTGTTGTTTTATGATAAATACCGGCGTTGGTTTTATCGTTTGAATTGTTTTACATTTTCTCATGTTGGTGATTTTTATATAATAATATACGGTAACCGATGGTTGCTTACTTTCACTTAATCTAGTCTCTAAAGGAGAGTTGGCAATCATACAACATATTTAATATATTATATATGTCTTTTTTTTAAAAAGCTTCTATGGCTATTCCATTCTAATGTAACGCTCACAAATTGTGAGAACATCATGAAATTTGGACATGCAGCGGACGATGAATCAGTTAAAGGAAAAAAGACATCAAATTGCCCGAAAAAACAAACAACAGTACACAAAACTAATGTGGCGTGGTTTTCTCTTACTTAATTGAATAGATTAAATCCTTTTAAGCAGCAACTATTTATCAGGAAAATAATGTCAAGAAACGCAAACCATGGAAAATCATATCAACAGGGAGAAACATACTGCATATGCATATGCAGGCGCTGCATGGATGTTTATTTAAAGAAATGGAAAGCCAACAATGTTAAATTGAAATTATCTCTTTTATTGTAATGGAAAATTCTCGACCGACCCTAATTGTCATTTTTCTACTTGTACAACAAGATATGACATAGACATAACTGTATCAGTGATATCCTTTATTTCAAGTTCAATAGAATCGATGCGATCAATTTTGAGACCGATTTTGGAAAGTATTTTGTGACAGGGCATTATCGATGTAGTCAGAACCATTGATTGCGCAATTAGCAGTATTGGAGTGTAAAAGTTGTAAGTAATAACAATAAACGGTACCAAAAGTCAGGAATATGACATTTGATTTCCATTCGTTTGATGTGGTTGAGCTTTTGACTTTCCGTTTTGAATTTTCCTTAGAGTTCGGTTTTTTGTTATTTTCCCTTTGTCGGTACCGACGTGATTTATAATATACTTTTCTAGAATTCCTCATTGATAGACTTAGAAATAATTAAAAAACTTAGGTTCCAACTTCCTCAGGCAAATTTGAGATTAGAGAATTTGACTATTCCTATTAGGTCCCTATTGGTCATTTAGCACCTTACGTTTCTTCATAGTTCAACTCCACTGGCTTTCAAATGTATGTGTTGGAGCTTTCCTAAAGAAGACAAATCCAGAAAAAAACGCTTCGAACGCACGAAATTTATAAAGTGTTATTTCTTTTACTAGCACTTACTGCCACTGGATCGACACCGCTGGTAGTGGACTGTAGGGCACAATTTACAAAATTTAGGAAAAAACATTAACATTTACCCTCATTAATTATACCATCCAATTCTCTTAGCTTTTAAACAAATTAAGCGTATTGTTTGTGCCATATATGTGCATGTGTATGTAATCAGTATTATCAATATTTGATTTCATTAGTTAAATGGTACACTCAAATTTCCATTTTGTGTATTCATAGAAACAGTATGTATTTATTCGCTATAAAATATTGTAAAAAGGGGAACGAATATGTCACATATTTCTCCTAAATTTAAAGGAGGTTCTTCTGGTTCCAGAGAAATACAACATAACCAAAAATCAAGCAAACAAAAAGGACAGAATTAGTAACGTTAAAATCACCAAAAAGATATTTATGCATGATATGATTATTCTAATACTGTTTGGTTACCATATCACTTTTTTGGGATTACACATTAACTGGAAAAGTCATGTAAATCGTCTATTCTCCGCTGTTTATTCGTCTCTTAAAATATGTGAAGGGCGTACGGCGACTTATATTTTCCTACACACATTCAATTATACCAAATCTTCTTAGTTTGACATTAAGACTGGTTATTGTTTTACTCTATATTCTAACTATATATTCTCTTTCACTATAATGATTAACTTTGTTTGAATACTTTCAGGTATTCTTTTTTGCAGCTTTGGTTTCTTGCAGTCTTTTCCTGATGCAAATGAATGTATTCAAAGATACAGGATCAATTGGTGTCTTCGAGTTATTCTTTTATTTACATCTAATTGGAGACATTTTGGAGGACTATAGGAATGTGGTATGATCTGTTAAAGTAAAACAATAAATAATCTGTAAAGTGCAGAGACAAAAAAGATGTTGACCCCACATCGGGGATGCAGAGGCCTGAATCTTTCGCTTTTTCCGTCTGGTCGTCTGTCTGTCTGTCTGTTTATAAACAATTTTTGTGAACGAATAAAACTTTAATATTATGTGTAGGACGCATAAATAATCAACTAAAGTCTACGAGTGCATCGTTTAACGAATTAAAGAATATAGGCATGAATGCTTTTATGAACACAACATCTCCAAAAGTATGATCAACCCTACGTATAATTATATGTAGAAAAAAAAAGAAAAAAAATTGTATGCGTGTAAAGCGCTGTTTTTGGATTTACGATCATCAGGAACACTCAATGCCGAATATTTAAAAGCCAATGATTTATAAGAACCGAAACAGTAGAAGTGCTATATGACCAAAAATGATCGCCAAGTCAATATAAGGTCAACTTTAGATATGCAAATAAGTAAAAACTACGGTCATAATGCTGTAAAATGGATTTTGTTAAAATATTTAAAGACATACATACTAAAGAATATGAACGAAAATATATGAAAAAATATATGTATACGAAAATATATGTTATTCTCGATTTCTAATTGACTCGCAGTCATAAAACTTGGTATAGATACTTGCTGTAAACGAAAAATCTATATCTCGTTAAAACATGATACCTTGAATAAATTTCTGGTATAAAAAAACCAGCCTACATGATAAATGAGAACTTATTAAGTATATTTGATTTTGTATTGAATGTGCTTCAAATTAAAAAAAATACAGAAAAATCTTAAAATGAAATGCTTTTGGAACGAAAACACGACGCCCGTTCCCTTTATATTTGACATTATCAAACGTATCATAATAATTTCATTGCGCATGACCTGTTTTGTTTTATGGTATCAAGCCAACATTATATCAACACCAGGAAATATAAAATTTTGAAAATGAGCGATATGTCAAAGTGTTAAAATATCACCAGTGACATATTAAAATACTGAAACGATCAGCGGCGTAGAATGTACTTAATTCTAAAATTGCTTGAGTATTTTAGAGTAAAGAATAAATCTCTGTTTACGAAATTGACGTTCAATGTCGTATCAACTTGGGACTCGTATTCATATAGTTGCATCTATAAGCTTTGAAGTTTTTTCAATAAAGAACGGACCTTTTAGTTTTGGTTGAAAACCTTTATTAAAGTTTAATAGGATATAGGAGTATAATTTTTCATTGAATAAGGATCTTCCGTAAAATGAATCATCTGTGTGTCACGAAGAAATATAAAAACGTTTTGCTTACAGTTTTTACAAGCACATCTTGACAAACAAGAGCACATAATACCGAATTGGATACACTCTGTCTGCTTAATATTAATGCACCAATATTATAATAATTATCCTTGACAAAGACTGTGTAATTGTCAACCAAATTATGATTGCGTCTGAAAAACTGACAATAAAATGACTTAAGTTTCCTCATAAGACATTTTGGTTCAGTGACTTTCTTGTGACGACTGTTTATTTTTTAATTTGTAAAGACAACATGTATACCCGCGGTGCTGCTGAAGTATACAATTTCAATCTTTTCATTACATACAATACAACATGAAAGCAAAACTGTTTTTTTCTCATTGTATAATTTAATAACTATCGAAGTATGTTAGATTGTTAAGCCAAAAGCAGTAATCCTAGTTAAAAACCACGAACTTCACAATACTATAATTTGTAATGAATAATCATCATGTTTGTGTTACATAAGAAGACGAGGGAATGCAATGTTAATGAATCATAAACTAAGTTAATCAATATTGGAAAGATGGCTTAAAATCAAACGAATTTCAAATAAGAAGATTTTTTACTTTTTTGAGTGGTTGGTTCTATTTACTTTTATGAAAATTTAATAAAATTCCTCGAAGATATTCCTCAAATGATGGCTCTTTTTTATAAACTATAAGCCTTGTATTTTTTTATGAGTTTAACAACCATTGGGTCGATGTTACTGCTGACGAAGGTTTTGTCTCACGGCTGTCACCAGCTCAGTAGTCAGCACGTCTGTGTTGACATGTAGTATCAATAATATGGTCATTTTATGTAAATTTTCTGTTATAAAATTTAGAATGGAAATGGGGAATGTGTCAAAGAGACAACAACCCGACCATTTTGAACATTGTTCGAAGCAAAGTTTTCTAACACATGGCACAATTGGTCAAAGCCTTAATTAACATTTTGGAATTATCTGGTTTTCGCAGCTTTTTAACTTCGTATTTGATTCGAACTTCCAACTGTTTTAATTTGAGAGCCACGCATGAGTCTTATGTAGATGAAACGACCGTTTGTCGTTATAAACTATAAGCTTGTTATTTTGGTTAAAGCAATGTTTATGAATAAAAGGTGTGTTGGGAACACGCTATTAAAACAGTTTCCTTATGACACAAAGAACCAAAACATCTAAATGTAAATAGACAGTATTCCACAGTAGATATTGTTCTATATTATGTCTCACGCTCTTAAAGGGGTATTAGCTGCGAATAAGAAACAAATTTGAATATTTATACTGGTTTCAAACAAAAACTGATAAATTAATAATGTAGAAACTTTCGACCATCTACCTTGAAAACTTAATTATCCTTGAAAAAAAACCACACACAATCGTTGAGGTATAACTTAAAACAATCACTGTCGAGGTACCGTGATTTCAACGAAGAAATAAACATGTGAAAGGGTTAAACTTTTTTTTTTTAGCTATATCTTGCCTTTGAATCTCGATCAGTGGTACATTTGATAACATGAAATAAAACCAGTACTGATAAATGCAATTAATTAACTACTAAGTAGTATTATAGATTATTTTTGTTGTGTTTAAAAGTTTATCATGGATTGATTGTCTGATGATATAGGTATCAATCAGCTGTAAGAAATGACCACAGAAGAAAAACATAAATTAGAATTTCATCGTCATTTCAAATTTGAGAGAACCAATAACAAAAGTTTCAAAGATGTTTTCCAGTGTCATCATTGTTTTTGTGTGCTCTAAACACACAAATTTTGAATTTAAGCACTTTATATAAAAAAAAACATACTCTTTAACGTTCTATTTACGTTTCGTCTTCGAGGATAGCAACAGCCCAGTAGAGGCTGCAGAAGAAAAACAATCATGAAAAAGACAATATAAATTTAATGAATAACATAATGTTTTTCAACTTGTAAGGTTTAAACACCTTAATATTGGATGTATTACCGTTAGAACTAACGTTGTATGTATTTATTTTCAGATTTCGAAAAAGTGTAAATCAGGATGTGCACAAGAGAACCCATTAAGTCATTCAAAAATGTTTAGAGTTAAGAAATACATATGTAATTTCTGGAACCTCATAGATGTTATGTCTTATACGCTGACCATCACAGCAATATGTCTTCGTTTCTTCATTTTAACAGGAGGTTGGCAAAAGTTTTGCAGACGTTTTTTCAGCCTGAGTCTAGCTACTATAGCCATCAGATTTTTTCGAGTCCTATTGATGTCAAGGAAACTTGGGCCAAAAATTATCATGATCAAAGAAATGGTATGTTACTATAAAGTCACCATTGCATACATACATATATACTGATTATGACGTTCATGTACGTAGCATCCTCCAAAATACAGCCATCGGTATTAAACTTCGGTCGGAGTGATTTTATATAAACACGTTTATTAACTAAATCTTTCATCGATATTATTAAGTGCGTCAGAAGCGCTTTTCTGTGAAATCTTCATCAGGAACGCTCAAACGTTGACATCACAAAGCCAGGGATGAATAGATACATAGAAACGTAAGGAGCTATCTTATAAAAAAGGGACATTAAATGAAGAGTCAAATTGATTTAAGGTCAAATTTCCAAATGCATTTTGGGCCTTTTTATTTTCTTATACTTTCTTGATATATCAAAGTATTATTATTACTTTTAACTTGTGTTTTTGTTGTCTATATAAATGTAAGTGTAAATTATATTTTTATCCAAGTTTTATTTTACGTTAAATTTGTAGCTCTTTAAAAGAAAAAGAAAAGATTTAAAAGATGATGACTTAAAAACTACTTTATCGGTCTGTTTTTCTACATCGATTGCATTGACGTCTAACATTTCAGGAACGCAATATTTTAATTTCTAAATAACGTTTGCAGCAAGGAAATTTATAAATTGGTCAAAACTTTTAAAATGTTATTTTTCCCTCCGTAATGGGGATGTTCTGTTTGCTTCCTCTAATGAAATATAAGTTTGGTTCGATAGCCACGAGTTTGTATTGAAGTCTTTTGAAGGAAATTAAGATATTTACGAATAAGTCATATCTCTTAAATGTAAGCACAATTATGTTTAATGTGGAAGTATTATTTAGAGTGCAGTAATCTTATAAAAAGTAGTATTTCGCATCCAGCTTTTTACGTTAAAATTATTCAAAAATTTTCAAAAACTATATATTGTACTTAGAAAATATGAAAATAAAACTTAATAAATTTGATGCGTCCAAAGCGGTTTTGTGAATACATCTTCATAAAAAACGCTGAAAGCCAAATATTTGAAAGCCACGGATATAAAAGTATCAAAAAAAATGAAGAGCTATATTTGACCAAATCATTAATGAGGGTTATAAGTAATGTTGTTCAATCATTGCGTCTCGTATTTGTGGCGACAATTTGGTTATTTTATGGGTAATGTCACTCCACTATCTATCTGCGAGTTGAAGCAGTACTAATATCTTTCCTTTTTTCTTTATATGGTTTGTTTGAGCCTTTGTTCACTATTAAGTCGGCATGTACTGTTAATGACCTTGCCGTATGAAATTTTCAATGTAGCACAATGACCGATGTTTTTGTATGACGGCATTAATTCTGATCAGCAGACCAAACACTTTGAACGTTTTTTTTTCTGTAACTACGAGCATTTCAAATACTGTGTAACATGTTTTTGATTTTATATTCTATATTTAGAAATATACCTGTGATAAAATAAACGTAAAAATAAATACGCTGCATTGATAGATTCGTGTAACGCACAGTTTATAATTCTAGTGTGGTGTACTGGTGTACTATCGTAAATTTATGTGAGGTGTCCGTTGTTATTCTGTGGTTTACATGTTGTAACGTATTATTATATTATTTATTTATGTATTTATCTGTCCTGAGTGTTTATTTGTACTGTAACGTAATGTTGTCATTTAAGCGGGAGGTTTGGCTAGTCATAAAACCAGGTTCAACCCACCGTTTTTTCTTTAAATGTCCTGTACCAAGACAGGAATATGGAAGTTGTTATCAAATAGTCCGTTTTTATGGATGTTAGCGTTTGTTGTTGTAGCAGTTCAGTGTTTCTGTTGTTCTGTTGTCCTATAGTTGATGTGTTTCCCTCTGTTTTGGTTTGTGACCCTGATTTGTTTTCGCCCAATCGTGTTTTCACTATTGAACAGCAGTATACTACTGTTGCCTTTATTTGTAAAGTATTATTTGGCTATTGTATAATTCAAACTTGGTTGTGTAATAGTTTTTCGGTGCTATGTGTTCTAAGAAAACAACTAGTTTAACCCACTACATATTCATATGCCTGTACCTTATCATGGTGCCCGTTAGTTGTTGGCATATGCCATATCTAAATAAATGCTGTAAGTTAATTAGGAAATTTGATGTTAATGTCAAATCTTTGGTTATTTTTGTTTTGATTCACATCTTTTAAAGACTATGGACGATTTAGAGCTGACCATACTATTTATTGGTGATGTCTGTATTAAGCGTATTTACTATTCATGATGTTGGGTTGGTGTCTCATTGAGAAATTAGTCCCATCACGTTTTTACCTGTTGTTGTTTAATGACATTTTTTGTTAAGTTATACAGAAAGTGCACATAGCTGTTGATTGTTCGGAGATAATAAGATAATGGAGCGATGGCAAGATATCCAGACTTTCGCCACCTATTTTCCATGTGAAATTTTTCATTTTCTTTTATTGTTATTTTTATTTTTAGTGACAATGATTTTATTTGTTTGAGACTTCCATAATGTTTATTTTTTTATGTGTTATGTACATCATAATGCATTTTCAGTTAAAGGATCTATTTCGATTCATCGGAATTCTATTTTTATGCATGATTGGTGTTGGAGTACTGTATCATGCAAACATGTACCCAGAACATGACTTGAAAATGTGGAATACAGTAGGATATCAGCACTGGAGAATATGGAAAATCATGTATATTCCATACTGGCAAATATATGGGGAAACTATGCTTGACAGTCTTCAAGGTAAGCTTTCAATTTAAAAAATAGAGTCACTCTTGTGTTCGGTTGGTTCATAGGCACTTTTCCGTACACCTTGTGACCATATTACCTTTTTATCTCAAATACAATTTTGATGAAAGGTGTTCATAAAAATTATTTTTATCAAAAAACTAACTATGTCCCAAAATGCTGAAATTAAATAAAGTATCCACGAATTTGCTGATTGCAAGAGTAACTGTACATTGTAACCATAAAATATTTCCATGTACAAACCTCTCTTCGGTTTGCTTAAAGTTAAGCTGAGATCGTCGAAGTCGAATTGTGATAGCGCAAAATCAGTCTCAATGTCAAATAAAGAACCACTCATATTGAATATTGGGATTGAAAATGAAAAAAAAAAAAAAAAAATGGGGTCACGTAATCAGTACTTGGGGAAACTCGTAATGAGCTTGAAAATAAACTAAGAATTATGATTTCCAAAATAATTAGATCCAAAACTTTAAATCCATTATTTTTCAAAACATGTTATTTTTGTTTTTTATTTTGTTTTGTTTTTTTCGGGGTGATATGAGCCGGGGAAGGGGTGATTGCTCTTCCACACTTTTAAAGTTGAAGGAGAGGCAAAAAAATGTTTGTTTGTTTGTTTATACGTAAGTAGTATTTTTCCTAGTGTAGAGGGGTATATATAAATGCTGGGGCGTAGGAACCTCGAAAGGGGACAATACCTGCTCCATACACTTCCATAAGTGATGTCCCCCACTTTTTGGCAATTTTTTCGTATCAAAATACAATATGGCTACGGAAGAGGGCATTAACTTACGTCTAGACTATAAGACTATTATTATAGAAAATATTTATTGTTATTTTAAGAAGTCCCCCCCTTTTCAATCTAATCCTACGTCACTGATATGTAGCAAAGAAATAAGCAATAATTCTACTTGCAATTTATTTATGCAATCATCTATTAATGGCAAATTGCATAAGATTCTAATTGAAAAGTCGTACAAGTCAGACACAAAACAAAAATAACAAAAGAAACAGGGATGGTAAGAACCAGTCTTAAAGTTTTTCTGCACTTGTAGTCAGATCAAGGTCTTCGGCATATACATGTATTCACAATTAAAAGATGTATATTTGATAATGACTGTTTTATTCAAGTTATACTTTTCTTTAAACCTTAATTATAGTCCTTTGTTAATATTGTGATGATTGTAACCTTTGATTTGACATGTAGGAGACCAATTAATGTCTGTTTTTATTTCAATGACCTACATGTTTTGTGTGTAGCTGAAGCTAGGGCAGTATGATAAATGATAATAGAAAATTTCGGTGCTTTGCTTTTGTGCCATTTGGCATTTCATTTGCGCCAAAATAATCTTTCATTCGCGCCATAAACCATATTTCATTTGCGTCAAAACTTTTAATGACATATTTTATGATAAAACATTTCATTTGCGCTTATAATACAGGTAAATACAGGTAAATAGTATAAATAAAGTTTTATTCAAAAGAGATTTATAATAATAACTTTAAAATAATAATGTAAAAACACAGTTATGTTATAAATTTACGAGATCAAACAACCTAAAAGAAGCACTATACACTGGAGTAAAACCAAAAGTTTGTTCGGACACAAGACTTGTAATCAACGACTCGGATGTACTCATTTACACTGGACAACCTATATGTGTGGTCATAAAAAATTACAGACTTATTTCCTCTATATACAAATGAAAGATTGAATTTTGTAAAAATTGGCGCAAGTGCAATGCACATAGAAAATTTATCTAATTAGCACAAACAAAAATTGTGACAAATATATTTTAATCCCTATATTTTGTTAAGGATTTTTAAACAATACTATTACAATTTTAGGTATGTTTTTTCACTGGAAACTGAAATAATATAAAATCTGTAAGATGACAGAAAGACAAGAACCAAGCCTCCTTACAAACCTTTATTCAATCGAAGTCAAAATATTTCAGAGATTAATGATGATAAAGTGTTATTAGCCTAAACCAGTGACAAAATATTTATGTACACATGTTGTGAATCTTTGTGATATATCAAATTGATGATTTTTGAAGTGATTATTGAATAGCATTTCAAAAAGTAAAATAACAAAGTACATGCAGAACTCTAAGGAAAATTCAAAATAGAAAGTCCCTAATCATATGGCAAAATCAAAAGCTCAAAGACTTCAAAGGAATGACGTACAACTGTCATATTCCTGACTTGGTACAGACATTTCCTTATGTAGAAAATGTTATCAAATAAAATTCTTTCTCAAAACGTGCTTTAGTTATAACATTTATTTATTAACATTATCATGATCACTCAAATGGGTTATTTTGCAATTTATTGTAATCAGATGTAATCATGATAACTTACCTATGTAATCTTTAATTAAACAGTTACTTTGAGAAATGATGTAACCATTAATTTATTTCATTGTACAATTGACAAAGTAATTGTAATTTAATCAATTACATTGAAAGTAATCGGATCCATCTCTGTTTACACCAACCAAGAATTCCAAAAAAGATTGCATCGTTCTTAAATAAACAAAAATGCCGAACAATTCATAAATTCATAATTGAGTCTCACACACACGAGAAAAACCTCATCATATAAAGGACAATCAAAATTATTTTTGATCCAATAAAGCAGGATTTCATGTATTTACGAATTTAAATAAATCATAAGTTGTCTTCTGTAAGAAATCGTTTTCCAACGTGCCGTCAAACTCCCTTTGAACGTCGTACACATTCACAAAACCGGGTTCTTTCATTTTGGCATGGCCGATTTTGTTTGTTCCATGCACAGAAAAATAAATATTGAGATGCTCAAAATAACAAGACTTGCAATCTCAATGTTACTATCATTCTTTCCATGCAATGCGCACAACTCAATGAGAAATTTATCAAATGCGAGACAAGGTTCACTCATTTCATCATTTTGACGTGCCTTTTTACTCATTTCTCCGTTAATCTAGAACGGTTGTAGAAAAAAGTACATCTCACAATTAAAAATAGTTATATATGTATTTATATTCTTAAATATCATAAAAGTATAAAATAGATAAACAGAAATCCTACCTTATTTCTGTCTGTTGATGGTCCGTCACCGTACCGGAAACTAGATACCATTGAATCCAAACATTATTTGCCAGGGTAGTTTAGACATAGTGAAATAGATTTTACAAATGCAGATATGCTGCCTTACCATGTTTCGGCTCTTGGTTAGGCGAAAATAGTAGGTATGTAGTGACCCCCCTGTAAATTTGTTTAATCATTTAGCCAATGGAGAACACATATCGTAGCATTGTAACATGTAAAAACAAAAAGGAATGTATGTGACTGTATGTGACTGCTAGTTTTGTTTCTGATAAAGAGAAAAAAGATACCAAAGTGGTATTCAAACATACGATGTTGATTTTGTTTCACAACATGTCGATAAGAAATTTAGTATATGATATTGAATAGTTATTGCGCTTTTAAAACTTACCCTTTTTAATCAAACACTTTCTTATGTGGGAGTTATCTCCACGTGAATTGTTTCTCTTGATATCGCTTATCCCAAGAAAGATATAAAGTTCTCGCTCATTTTTTTCTTAATATTCGTTACTTTCTCAGAATACTGGGCCTATTTAGACCAAACCGGTGACATGTAATAATAGTAATTTGCCTTTGTTTGTGTTATGTTCCGGTAACTCATAAACATAGAGGCCTAGGGGCTTTTGATATTACGTATTGGTCAATATACAGGAAAAAAAATAAGTAAATGTGGCAAATTATAAGTTTCAACATGATGCTTCAACAAAACATTTGGATCGGAGGGCTCTGTTGACTTTTTTCCCATTTAACGGTCAAAATAAGCTCATTGGAATGCATATAATGGACCTGAGCTCTTTTGATATGAGATCCATGCCATTTGTCTTTGAAATTTATATCAAGATCGAAGTTAAATATGACGTTCTGGAACTAGACCTTTGCCATAACTTCATACTGGTACATGAGAAGGCCTTAAGGTCTGGACGACATATAACCTTAAAAAAGGTCGAATGATATGACCTTCTGTAAACCGGAAGTACTATTTTGTTGCAATAATTTCATTTAAAAGTACATAGAAACCCATTCATTTTCGGAACCAGTGTGGATCAACCATTTATATTAACCTGAAGTTAGATTTTGTATTCCTGTATTAGCAATAGATCTTTCTTATTGCAAGGAAGAGACACAGAGAACATAGAGACCATCTTTAATAAATCATTGTAATGAAAGTTATCATATTACACCGCAACAGATATTTTATACACCGGTAAAGGCCGTTTAGCTCCATTATTTCAAGTAAAAGTATATAGGAACCATATATTTAGCTTTGTTGGACGAAGTCCAAAACTATCTTATAGTATGGTGATGTCGAGCAGGCGGGTGAATAAGCAGATATCGGGGAAAAGTTGGTACCTAATTTGTGAAATAAACTCATCCCACAAATTTCAACCTAGATCCCTAAAACTACACAGGAAGATTGGTCATCAGTTAAAGTTGAGACCTGACGTTAAGGAATTGTTTGAGAATTTGTTTCTCGTTTTCATTGACTTCAGAATAAAGCCTTTTTCAGCTAAATTTATGTCAGAGGTTACATGTATTGTGTAATAAACTCCTTCTACAGTGTTCCACCCAGATCCCTGATACTTTACAGGACGGTTGCGCATATATTGTGCACCTGATATTATTTGGAATTGTTTGAAATATTTTACAATTTAATATTTCAAGTATTCAAATGTTCAGAACAAATCATTTCTGACATTTCAAAACATTCTGCTCTACCCGAACATTTCAGTCTTTGATCTATTTTTTGTCCTATTAATTTAACGGAAGCTATTATATGACATCAGGAGTGGCATTTGTAAATCGGAAGTAACCAATCATCTCCTTTATTCTAAAGATTAAGGGAATGCATGGGTACCATAATGACACCTGAGGTGATTATTTTAACTGAAAGTGGTTGTTCATCTCTCTTATTTCCCAAAAAAAAAGCCAAACTAGAACTATATATGTTTGGTATCGGTGTAAGATTACTTATCCTCTGACAACGAACAATTTGCATTTTCTATTCTGACCGAACGAATATTAAAGCAGAATAAAACTTGTTTAAAATGCCTTTAAAATCTTATATCTTAAAGTGAATTTCAAACGAAAATAAATGTTATTTATGAATAAGTTAACTAATGGATCGTTCAGTTGATAAGTATATAATAAAGGATCAGATGTATAAATAATAGAGCAAATAAAATTGAAAATTCCAACTAATCGACTTATAGCATCTTTACCGCATAGTTTTAAGGTTATTAATGTTTTTTAAAAATATTTTCAGAAAATATTACAACACCCTGCACCATGAACCGGAATGTATGGGAGAGTAATCCAGACATAGAACGATGCAATCAGTATGACTGGGTACTTATTGTGATCGCTGCAATCTATATGTTGATTTCAAATCTCCTTCTTGTCAATCTTTTGATAGCTTTGTTCAGGTTTGTTATTTTTTGTATCACGAGAAATTACAACAGTTCAAATCATGAAAGGTAAAGAACTGGAAAAATAGTTATATCAAATCAAACAATTTGTTGACACTGTTGAATTATCATGCTTACACTTTTAATAGCTAAAATTATTTGATTTTATTTAGTCTGCAATGTAGAATAACATATATAGTGCGAATTGACAATTTGTAAACTTTCACCCAACGTTTTGATTACTAATCAAAATTATTATTTAAGGATGTTCGCTACTCATGTCTTTGACGTTTTGTAAAATATTCGGAATCAAATGTAGTGCCAATAAAAATTATTCCACTTACCCGTACTTTTATTTTCATAATATTATTACAGATAGCTTAAAAAGCCATTTTTTAACATCTTTAAAAATCCTTGTTATTTTTCATAGTTTTTGAAAGAATGTTAAATCTAGGGAAAATCATTTCCCGCCAAGTTTTCAATTGATTATATCTCAAAAACAATGACACGGATCGGGCATTTTTTTCTACGTATTTAGTTTCGTTATTTATGAACAGATATCTAGTTTTAGTACTTTAAACAGGTGAATTTAATCTGATTTAAGGAATCTGGTTGGTTAAGAGACCTTTTGGTACATCTAATGACTGCAGTCACTATAACACAATTAAACAGTCACACAACAGCAAAGATTCGTCTATTCGATCTACCCTATTTAAATTTGTGCAAACCATATGAGAGTTAACATGATTTTCAATATGTATTACCCTAAATTATAATAACTATACTTTTAAAAGTCAGGAACACCGAATTTATCAAAATTCAAGTCTGAGGCGGATTTAGGGGAGGGGCAGGTGCCCGTGCCTCCTTATGGGTCTACAGTTATTGTTAATCTAGACTTTTTACCTGTTCCACGCCAAACTTTGTCTAATTTGGGGGCCCCAGGCCCCCTTTTTCAAAATCCTAGATCTGCATCTACAAGTTACACTGATAAGTTATGTAACTTCAAAGTGTAATACTTTTGACTATGAGTAATTCTTGTAAAGGTGGGTTGGATTTGTTATAGAGAACGTCATGAAATCAATATTTGACATGTTTTATTTTCTAAACGCAGTATGGAGAAAATATTACTGCAAAAGATATCATTTAAAATGATTAATCAGAATCAATTCAAAATATCGTGTCTTTAAGCATAAATAACGGTATCTATAAGTGTTGCTATTTACTTACAGCTATCGATTTGAACGGGTCCAGGAAATCTCAGAGAAATTGTGGCGATACTTAAGATATGAACTCATCATGGATTATCGCGATAGGATACCAGTTCCTTTTAACCTTGTGATCAGACCACCATACATCGTATACTGGTGCTGTAAGAAACTTATAAAGAAGAAACAATCGGATGAGAGGGCTGCCACTCGTGAGTATTATTTTTGTGTAACTTTCCTCTATCATTATAGAAACACTAAAATTGAATGAGAAACAATTCTCTACTGAGTCCACTATTCTAGCATCTTATCAAATTCTAAGCGGGTAGGCTAATATAGTTCAACATATTGGCAAGATACTATTTCTAAGTGAAACATTCAGATATATAAATTTCAACTATACCAATAGTATCTTTTACAACAATTATAATACATGTGTAACGTCATTCTTGTATTAAAGTCTGCGGTCAATTCCATGAAAAGTTGACCGTTGGAGTCAAGGAACAACGTTGCAAAATCGCGATCGCATTTCCGAGATAGATAGTCAATAATCTTTGTGCATTTTAACGGTGGCAAATTTAAATTTTACTGTTTCCTTTGCGCATCTCTAGTAAATTTGCATTTGAGACCCTCATATCATAAAATAACGATATGCTTGATTCCCATCGTTTTCTTTTCGTGAAGTATCTGGTTTTAGACGACTTTATTATTCGTCATTCGTGCGTGTGTTAGGCATTTCAGTATATTGACATTAGTTTATAACGTACATAATAATACAAGCGAATGCTTGAAAAAGGTCACGTGGACACAAAGACCTTGTCTGTTGGATGTAAGGATGCAGGAATCCGATTTGCCCGTAAATCATGTAAGCCAAAGTTGAAATTATATGGATTTAACTATTATTCGTATGTCCTTTTTGGACAGACAGCTCTTCGGCTGTTTCGGTTCTTTAACATACTTGGGTTTCAAATATTCGGATTTAAACGTTCCTGATGAAGGTAAATCCAGAAAAGCGCTTCAGACGCATACAATTAAAAAATGTTCCTTTTTAAAACGCAATAAACAACCTATGTTAAGATTATTTTCTTTGGTAATAGAACCACAGGCACTTGTCTCGAGCCCGCAAAAACATTACCTGATATAAACCTTAACATAACACAAGGCACACAACTTGCACTTTTGAGAAATGTTTGAAAAAAGGCAACAGTAGTATATCGCTGTTGAATAGTCATAAATCGATTAAGCGGAAACAAATCCGGGTCACAAACCAAAACCGACGGAAACACATCAACTATAAGAGGAAAACAACAGAACAACAGAAAAACTTAAAATATATCTTCGAAACTCCGAGACCAGACTTGACTAATCGGATTTATATTATAGACTTTAAAAACATGATTTATTTTTTAATTGACCTTGCTCTTTGGTATTTTTGTTAATAGTTATAAATGGCTTTGAACTGGATTTCAGTATCAGCGAGCACGCTTACATCAGTACATTGTGTCTTTAGCTATTTTGTTATAATTTTTATGTTTTTGTTTGTCAACATGATGAGTCGAGCCTTATAAAAGTCTTGTGATTTGCGCAAATTGTACTATTATAAAATAATTTTATATTAATACAATTGTGCAATCTTAAGACCTTTATATTTTTGTCCTTATCTATGCAGTGGTCCTTTTTTATAGACTTCTATATATATATATATAGATATATGTATAAGATAAAGGCTTCTCGTATATTCTAGGGGATAACGCCCTCAGATACGAGAAGCGAACGCCCATCACATATGAGACGATTACATCTGGTTCACATAGAAGTAATAAATAAATATTGTTCTAAAAAGAGAAATTAGTTTTTATAATCAGAAAAGGTGTCATTATCTCAAATTTGCAGATGCAGTACCACTTTCAGAAGGTGTTTCAAAGTTATAGATTTGGAATGTAATCTTAACGTCTGATTTTCAAATTGATACCATATCACTGCTTTTGTATAATAATATGAGTTACTGTACTATCTTGTCTTTTTCGGGTTTAATTGCCAAAGTCTGAACTGTTTGTTGATAAATGATAACAATTCTATGTAAATATACATTTAGTGTACAAACACGATACATTTTGTGGTAATTATCTCTGGTTTTTTTTTTGTATACGTCATAGCAAATTAAGTTACATATTGAAATGGACGGTTGCCTAATATTGCTTACATCCACTTCATTTGAACTTTGTTGATAGTTGTCTCATTGGCAATCATACCACATCTCTTTATTTTTATATTGTTATTTCAAATTATTAAACTATAAATTGAACTTAAACAATTAAATGATTTATTTTTCACATACCTACATAATATTATTAATGTTGTGTTGTCTTTTTAGGTGAAAGATCGTTGGATAAGATCAACGCACTTCAATCTATGAACGCAATTAAATGCGTTTACAATATTTGAGATGTCAAACAGATATATGTCTAATTATATTAAAAAGATCATTGTGTACTTAAACGCATGACATAAGTGGGGAAGATACAGAAAAATCAAGATTATATAATTGATTAGAACATGTTTGTACATATTATTTACATAGCTTTTCATAACCTTGTATTTTTTTTTAGATTACTGCAAGATGTTTTATTAATTTGACTTGTTGAAATTTTATATGTGATTTAGAATGTATTTTTTATAATGAAAATTGATGAAATACCTGTTCTAAAGCTCCAAATATTTCAGAAAAAGAAAATTATTTTCTCATGTTTTTATTGTTCATCCTCATGCACACGTACATTCTATCCTCAAATTGTCCTGATCTCTTTCCCAAATAGTGTTTATCTTGATATTTTATTAAGGATATAACTTAGGACAGGAAGTAATTTTGTGTTAGGATTGGAATGATGACGCGAAAAAGAATCTTTATGGTTACAAGAGCGCAATTATGTGTCATGCATTTTCCATAAGATACCAGTATTGTTAAATATTTCATTTCTTGAAAAATGCACAAACTAGAACAAAAATTGGTAACATTAAACAATTCTAGAAATATCAGCATTGCATTGCAACCAAAATATATATGTAACTTTTGCGGCAAAGTTGACCAAACATTGCAGTTTAAAGAGCGTTTTTTTTCACCTAATGGGACAGGTATTTTTTTTTAATGACTTGGCTCCTTCCTGAATAAATTTAATATATTTTCTACACACTGTCAAGTCCAACCCTGTATCATCCAACCAGGAGTCGCACAAGATTTTATTCTGATTACCAGTAAAATATAAACATATAAATAAAATCATCATAGATACCAGAATTCAAATTGTGTACGCCATACGCATATTTCGTCTACAAAAGACCCATCAGTGACGCTCGAATTAAAATTGTTTTAAAGACAGAATAAAGGACGAAGTTGACAGCATTGAGGACACAAAATGCCGAAAGGTTTTGCCAAATACAGCTTAGGTAATGTATTCCTTACTATTTCGACTATATCAATGTTGACCACTAGGCTGGTGACACTCGCGGTAAGACAACCTCCACCAGCAATGGCTCCGACCATGTATATATGTGTGTGCTCATGTAACCTCAGGTAAGATCGAGGCTTCGAAAGAAGAAAAAATACGTGTAGAAGATATGAGTTACTTTCCTTTCCAACTGATTTTATCAATATTTCCGTTTAAATTACCGATATTTCTATTTAATTTTCAAATGTCGTATTGGAAATACATTTTGCTAATTCGATTATATATTTATTTATTTCATAATAATTGCATTAAATTTGCATTTTCATTAAATTATGTTGTCCATGTTAAAAGAATTTTATGTGAGACGGTTCATCCTTTTGTTTTGAATATTTGGTTTTGATTGTTCATTCTAGATGTAAATACAGAAAAGCGCTTCAGGCGCATTTATATTATAAAGTCTGATGTTCATTTTTTATATATAAATATATCACTTATTATCATCCGCCAGAGTGCAAGATTTGTGGCACCATGCTGGATAAGATGGAAGGTAAATGTCCGAAAGTTATTTACATGTTGTATGTAGCAATTGTCTTTGTTTATGTTTTTTGTCATTAAATTTGATTCTTGAATTAATGGTCTTCAGTATCATCCAAAATGTATAAGTACATGTGTATGTCTTGCTTTTAGAGCTTTGAGTCTACAGTTTTTTTTATATATTATTGTTCATGGCCAAATAATAGAAAGCTTGTAGCTCAAAGAATACAGCCGAAATTGTGTAAATTTCTAAATACGACATAGTAGTTAAGATCACAAATTATAATTGCATAACAGTTGTATGTATGTGCTTGCTATGACTTTATATTGTGTTGTTCATTGTTTACTGTAATTATTTTCACTATATATATTATACTATTTTGCTATATCATTATGTTTGCTTATGCAATAAAATATTCATTTATTCATTCAAAGTGCTTTGAAATAAACCCAGTACAGTGTATCTCAATATATATAAAACGTTTGAGAGTCTATGATATCTCAAAGGAATAAAAAATATTCTAAAATATATAAAATGTATTCATGTTTAAGGGCTGATGTCATCACGGTGTTCTTAATATTTTACTTAAATGAAGAACATTTATACAAGCGTTGTATCTTTTATTTTTCTATTTTTAAGTGCATGTAGTCCTTTTGTGTCATGAATAAGTACACTTTTAAAAAAAAATTAGATAATTATTGAGGATGTAGTCATGTCAGGTTTAGGAAATTTTGTCAGATGTTCGGACTCCTTGGGTTTTTTCCTATGTTACAGGGTAAAATAGTTTGCCCCATATCACCCACTTTTCTTTTTATATAATACTTCAATAGCTCACAAAAGGTCATATACCGAAATTTAAGCATTTTTTAGATTTTTTTTCTTACGATTTGAGACCCAAATAATGCAAATTCTAAATATAAAGTAAAAGTCCAAGTCAGCCTTTTCCCGCCATTTAAAAAAAATTTAAATATCTCGAAAAGGAGTTCCATAGCCTATCAATATTTTTAGCTTATTTTGTATCTTAACTAATGCTCTTCTGATTTATAGTAGCAATTTTAAATTCCAGATCTTTTTAATTTCACCTGACTACATCATTAATAGACTATTTTCATATTACCGACTTTTGTCTCCGGATTATATAATTTTTCGACAGGTTACCTTTTCTGTGGTAAGACATCCTGGTACTCGGTCAAGTAAGAGCAGCTAAAATAAGTAAAATCAAATATATAATCGGTGTAATTTGAGGGGAAAGTTTACTGTTTTCTGATGATTTTGCCGTGTAAAAAAATATGCTGTAGTTAATTTTCCCCAAAAATTGTACCGATTGAAAGCTTGGTTTTACTTCTTTACGTTGCTCGTACTTGACTTGGTACCAGGATGTGTAACCACAGAGTAGGTAACCTGTCGAAAAAATATAGACTTCGAAGTTAAAAGTCGGTAATATGAAAATAGTCTATTGGATACATTTTTAATCATGTCAATTGATGATACCCACTCATGAATATAATTGAAGAAATGTCTTGTTTACAAAGATTTATTGTTGGACTGTCTTATAAAATGTAATAGACAACTTTCGAGTTCGTTGCATTTCCGTCAAAAACTTTGGTTTTAGTGAACATCGTTCATACGTTTAGGGGACGACCATTTGATATTCTGTGGGGGGGGGGGGGGGGGCAGGAGGATTTGTTTTGGATCGGTTATTTATTTTTGTGAAATTAAAGGACAGATTATTTATTTTCTGCACTGTTGAAGCATGATTTTTCATTTTCATTAAAACAAGGGACTGATTATTTATTTTCACAATTATATTTTAATATAATATTTGAAAACACACAATTTTTAAATTCATTTTTTTATTCTTAAATATATATTACATGTATAGTCAAGTCATTATGTACCACCATATAATCAGAGTTAATCATCATCCTCAGGAAGTGAATCTTCTGAAAGCCAAACTGCATACATTGCATACGTACAATGTATTAATTTTGCTGTAACTATAGTTTTCTTTAAAAGTAATGACAAAAAAATTTCGGCAAAGGGTTTGGGTGGCCGCAAGAAGCTATAGAAAAAATGATACAAAATACTGCATTCTGCGCGTTTCCCAGACCCTTTCTTAATCTGAAACGCAAGTTCTGCGTTCTTTACTTTTTCGACAATATTTTGGTCTCAAAGCAAAATATATAGATTCAGTGTAAGACTTTTAGTTTTTAGGTACAATATCAAAAGACCAATATGTAGGATAAAGCAAAAATGTAATTCACATAGTAAAGTATGTGGCTACTGGTTTTTTTTTTTGTGTTTCTGCTTGCAGAAAATCTTTTATTCCTGTCAATTATGTGGGTTTTTTTTCAAATTAAGTTAAGAGGGGGCTGATTATCATTGATATAACTATGTCAAGTAAGTTTTTATAACACATTTCAATTACAACTTGATGTAGTTCCTTACTGGGATACAATTTAAAGTAGTTGGTAAAATTAGATAAAAAGTCCTTCAAATTAATAAAATTTAGATTTAAAACAAAAAATTACTATATTACCGATGGGATGCAACACTAAGAGAATAAAGAAGGGCAATCAATGAACAAAAGACAAATCCGGGAACAGATAAAACACAAAGCGACAAACAATAGACAACTAACACTGAAAACTAAAAATAAATGAGAAACATTGATCCTGAAAAACGGGGGCTACGTCATAGGGTGAACAGACCTTGCAAGACACTCGCCGTGAAAACAATCTGATATGAAGACAAGCTTTTGTTTTTAAAATTTCCAACATGAGGCATTTGCCTCAATGTAGTTACGTCCCTGTAATAAAAGTGGGGTAAATGTTCTTGAGACAATATACCTCAAGTTAAATGAAACCCAATTTCAGACATTTCAAGTACATAAATATTCATGATATTTATACATTGTATTATCAAAAGATTTGGGAAGTTTTCCCAAAAAAAATTGAAAAAAGATGAATTTTGGAAGAATATGGTGCCATCTCATACTTTAGAATAGCATTTATAAAATGGCTTAAAAGACATGCTGAGTTATTTATTTTCAATACATTGTAAGTCAGGTTATTTATTTTCAAACTACCACAGAACGAACCATTCATTTTTGTTATTATCAAGGCTGAGTTATTTATTTTCAAAATCCTCCTGAAAGTGGTCTATTGTCTATCATTTCTTTAGAAGCCCAAATATGAAAGTTAAAAGTAATTTATCTATGATTGGGCACACGTTTTTAGTAAGGCAGAAACCCAGCATCGCAAAAAGTGAATTAGAGATCAGAACATTGTCTTTCACAAGAGACAGCTGTCTATAAAAAATAGAACTCTACCGCGGCTGGAATTGGTATATCGATAAAAGTGATCGTTGAAAAATATGTTACGATTGTCAAGTATTACGATAGGATCGTGCAAGATCGAGTATCCAATTGTCAAGGAAATGTTGTCGAGAAAAAACATGCAAGGTCAATATGTATTTAGATCTAAAATTTTAAAATAATAAAGCTGTCTGTCAAAATGGTTCAACATTATGAACGGTATCTGCGAAAATCGGTGTTGAAAAGGAATTTTCTGTAAAAAATCGTTTTTGATAAAAAAAAAAAAAAATAAGCACAAATTCCAAGAAACCTCCTACTGTTACAGCAAAATAACTTGAGTGTGTAGGTAAAGGTAAAATCGTTGGTAAGCTTGCTTGCTAGCTGAACCATGAAATCATTATTTGTTAAGGTACCACCTTCCTTTGGGCGGAGTTAACTATTATAGTTAATTAGACAACCAATCAAAAGTAAGGACAGTGCATAAACATTATGAAACCAGTTTAGATTAAACCAAGAGTTCCAAATGGTGAAGTTGAAATCATCACTTCGTAAATTTTACGGACGCCTTCACGAGTTGGTTGACCGTTATGGAATATCCGTTTCACAGATGATAGCGGATATGTTCCTTAGTTGTAACTACAATCCCGTTCCCTTTTCACGAATGTGACCTACCGAATTAGACTATTTACCGGGTTTGTACTAACATGAGCAACACGACGGGTGCCACGTAAAGAGCAGGATCTGCTTACCCTTCCGGAGTACCTGAGATCACCCCTAGTTTGAATGTCCCTCTGGTATCGATCTTTCGCCCCTCTTTTAGATATATATTTTCAATCTAAATTTAAAATATAGTGTCAATTATAAGCTAATTCACAAGCATGTTGTAGGTGTGTTTGATTTGTCAATTTCATTTTAATCAAAACAAAACAATGCCATGCATGGTGAGCGGAACATCTCAAAGATTTGGGCCGACTAAGTTTATTTTTGCACCTGTATCATTGGCATCATACCGCATCTCCGTATTTTTATAGAGGTAATTGATTGAAATGAAATTGACAAATCAAACACACCTACAACCTGTAAACATATTTTTAAACTAACTTGTAAAAACTGGTTTCACAATATTTATATACTATTCCTACTTTTGATTGGTTCCCTGCTTAATTATTGACTCCGCCCAATAGAAGGTAGTACCTTAGCTAATAATGATTTCATGGTTCAGCTAACAAGCAAGCTAGCCAAAGATACTACCTTTACCTACACATGCAAGTCAATGTGCTGTAAAGATTTGAATGAACTTAAATTAGGTGTATTATGCTATTACTAATTAGTTATGTCCAATTGCGGTTAAAATTAGCTTTTATAATAAAAAAAAAATCACAATATTCAGAATAATCTTGTTTGCGTTATGATTTTTTAAGAAAATTCTTATCATATATCATTCCTAATTGATTCCCGATGTCAAAAACTTTCAGTTGGTTGCCTTTTCCGAAATGACCGTCCAAATGCAGATCCGAAATAATTCCTAATTTAGATTTGTTTTGTTATAACATTTCATTGCCACGCAATGGGTTAATATCAATGATGGAAACATTGACTAATGCGATAAGAAAAGAGTCCTGCCCTAATTGTATAAGAAGTTAAATAACAAAAGTACCGAACTCCAAGGAAAATTCAAATTACTTGTTCTTCGAACACTCATGTACAAAAACGGAGCGAGCGAGAGACATTCTTATTTGTTTGATTTTCCCCCCGTAGTAATATTTTAGCAATATATACCTGAAATTTGTTGAAAGGAAAGTACATTTTAAATTTATTCTACAAAACAACTGTTTTCTGAAGCGAGAAATATTTGTTTTTAAATTTAATTGTTGACTTCATTTAAATGGAGCAATAACTCAGAAACTAACTTTTTGTTAGTGTTCCAAAATTTTGGAGCGAGCGAATCCATAAAACTGTGAATCAACTCGGAAAGGCCTTAGTGTATTTTTTTTATGATTACAACAGTTATATATGGAAGGTGAGTTGACGAAGATTTTCCAAAACAACTCTGTAAATGATGTCAAAGGAATGAATCCAACTTAGTTTAAACTGGTCTGCTGTAAAAGTTTAAAAGG